AGTCGTCGGAGATGACAAGTTTTCATTCACAGTTCGTTTAGCGTCAGTGTTACCAAAGATATAATTTATGTTAAAATCGCTGCAACATCGTTCGACTCGCGCTCGGCCTTGCCGAGTAACGACTTCGCTGTGGAAAACATTGAGAAACTGTCCGCGTTTGAGAACATCGAGATCTTACACAAGGTAGATGCAACAGATCTTCGGCGAACATTTGGTTCTAGAACATTTGATCGGGTGACCTTTAATTTTCCGCACACGGGCGGCAGATTAAAGTAAACATTGCCAAATGGAGAGATCTGTTAGAACGGTTCTTTGCAAGTGCTGCGCACCACGTGGAACTGTCAAAGGAGATATTTGTGCAAGTCTCTGTCAGGGAAGGGGAGAACACTCTTGCATAATTGAAGGAGAGAGCTTGGAACGACGTGACAGGTTGTTTACCGAGCTGCAAAAGCTGGTTGGTATTTTTTTGGTTGATTTTTTTATGTTAAATTGTTGTTTTCCACCAGCTGCTTTCATTTGCTAGGAGTTATCGAAGCGCTCTAATTTAGAGGTATTGAAATTGATGAGTGGATTGTTTTCTTGTCTGATCCTTCTTACTAAGTGTTGAAGAGGTCATTCCTCAGCAATAAATTTTCGAACTATCTTCATTTTATTTATTGTAAATGGCTGATGACTTCAAATCTGGAAATTTTTCTTGAAGTTTGCGCCAGCTGTCTCCACGATAAATGATCCGCCACGCGAAAGACCTTCAGTGATGGCAGCCTCGCCGAAAAGATTTCCGTAAAACCCCACACTATTCTGATACAAAGCTTTGGTATTAAAGTCAATCTGTTTTCGCCATTGTTTTCTTTACCCAAAACCTGCATTGGATTCGCGATCACTTGCGGGCTAAACCTGTATACTAAATTACCTTACGCAATTTTGTAAATGCATGTGTAAGGTGATCGAAGTCTGTATAACAGACTGAATCTTATAGTCGCTGGGGCTTATCCTGGTTTTTCTATCTCAAATGTAGCAGAAACATAGGTACTCCTGGTTGAGAATGTAGTGGTTTACTGTCGACCGTTCTCCAGGACTTTTTCAGTTTCCTGGACAGTTTTTCCCGTATGAGTGGGATAGGCACTGTGAGGTGCCCTGCTCTATGCAATTACCATCAACCATTGCTACAAGAGCAAATATCTCCAATAAATGCTTTTAGCACTGTCCACACTGTTCACATCACTCTGAAGTTTTGAAGGTGTTTTAGGTTCTGTGTAAGTTTCACTGCTACCATTTTGTGGTTGAAAGGGTGTGCTTGAGATGATGGAGGAGAACAAAGTCAAAACAATGCCACTTGAGACAAAGGAAAGACAGTTCCCTGAAGCTTCAAGATGACACCAGATCTGGTTGCAAATGACACCTCAGAATCTTCCAAAGCCATTTCTGTCACTTCTTCTTTGATTGAATTTTTTTGGGCTCCTCACTCAAACTACTTACATCTTCTGATTCACAACAGTCTTGCAGGGTCTAACAGTCAGGTCATAGGGGGGAAGGTAGTTGTCAAGGTGCATCACAGACAAATTCCCCTACTAGTTTAACCTCAGTAGAGTCAGACAACCCAGCCAAAAAATGGAATACAAACAAGATTTCAAGAAGTCAGGTATGCTGCAGGTGCAGGCATTGGATGTGAGTGCAGAGAGCAAGATGCACAAGGGAATTGTATTTTTTGTAGGCTGGAAAAGCACTACCTAGGGCCCACTAACTATCCAGAAGTCTGCAACAACAACCTAATACTAATCCTCCTACACAGGCCAAACTGTATCACAAGGACATGCCATGAATATCTTGTGGTATTGTAGATGTTAGCAAATCTCCAGGTGTTTGCTGTGGTTGGTGAAGGAAATAAGCATTATAACTTGGTTATGGTTATATAAGATATATCTGACATAAGACTCCTGTGGTCAAGAGATCAAAGGATCCAAAGACAGTTTTCATACTCGCAGGTAAGCCTTCTTGACCATTTACCAATTTTTGAAACTTTAAACAGTATAGGCTGGGGTGAGAGAGGTTGGATTCAAATATAGTTTTCTTTTATCACAAGTGACAACCACATGTTAGGGATGGTTGAATTCTGTAAGTGATAGTCAAATTGTCATGGGAGTTTCAGAATTCTCACTCTTAAAGCAAGGCCAGGAGCAAAAGCTTTTGGTTTACTGGTCAACATGAAATTATTTGCTTGAGCTGATATATTCATTTTTATCCACCTTTGGTTAAAAACAGTGGCTAAGGGAATCTCCAAAACTGCATATGACACATTTTTTGTCAATAATGGAGTAAGTGTTTATCTGTTTTGTGCAGTCATGGTTGCTGGCACTTTTCCTGAGGAATTTGATAATGTTTGTCTGTGATTCAACAGCCAATTTGGGTATGGAATGCATGTAGAGTAAATGCTCTTCATCTGTTTGGTGTTAGACTAAGTCATGCTCTGGTTACCATTTTGTTTGATTTTTTTTTTGTTCTCTGATGTCAAAGAGCTCTGATTAAAAATTTATGTGAACTGTGTCTAGGTTAACTTGCCAGTCTTGCAATAAGGGTCAGGGTGTGACTTTTGATTGTTTATTTCTTAATCTCTGGCCTGCCAAGGGATTTAGTGCAGCAGTTATAGTTCTTGGGTGTGATCAAAGGACATGACCATAAATAAAGAGCAGTTGACTTTCTTTGTGTGATGCACATTTCACATTTTTTATCTTACAATATTAACATGAATGTACTTTATGCTCCCGGCTCTTCTTTCTTTTTAATTAAAAACACTAGATAATGCTTCCTTTTTTACTCGAGTAGAAAACAACTGTAGAATTTGAAGATGTGTCATTCAGATATTTAAGGTGGATGGGTCATCACTCATGAAAGAGTTTGTCCCATTCATTCTCCTTCCTCTAACTTTCTAAGTTTCTGGATCACTG